TCTAAATCTCTAAAGCAAAAATAAACGAGTGAAACAAAGTCTGTGTTGAGTTGATGACAGCCACAGAGAGGGGAAAACTCTACCAAGTGACTTTAAAGTAAAGTAACTGTGCATCCCTCGTGGGACACGCCCTGAGGACAGAGCGGGAGACAAACCCGACGGGTGGCAGTGGCTTGATCTGAGACTGTCATGTGTGTTACCGCGAGATAAACACACAAGCAACTGCTGGTGTCCCTCACCGATAGCAGCACTGTCAGCACAAAGAGAGATTCTGAGAAAAGTCAGGCGAGGTGAAGGCCTCACAGCCTGAGAGCAGGGCCTCGGGAGCGATCTGCACGCCTGCGCTCACGGCAGCATTGCTCACAGCCGCCTAAAGCTGTCAGCAGCCCGTGTCCACAGACGGATGAAAAAAATGTGGCCTGTCCATAAACGGAATATTACTCGGCCTTCAAAAGGACGGAAATTCTGACACCTGCCGGCCACGACGTGGGTGAACCTCGAGGACATGATGCTCAGTGACATAAGCCAGACACAGACAGACAGACACACTGTCACTCCCCTCACACGGGGAACTCAGACCAGTCAAGTGCAGAGATGGAAGGAAGGGCGGGCCCCAGGGGCTGGGGGCGGGGAGGGGAGCTGTTTAACGTGGACAGAGTTTCAGTTTTACCAGATGGAAAGGGTTCTGGGGGTGGATGGTGCTGGTGGTTGCACAACTTCATGAATATACTTAACCCCCCTGAACTGTTCACTTAAAGAAAGGTTAGGAGAGGACTGGCCGGTGTGGCTCAGCGGCTAGAGCGTCGGCCCACAGAACGAAGGGCCGCGGGTTCAATTCCCGGTCAAGTGCAGGTGCCCGGGTTGCAGGTTCCATCCCGGGCCCAGGTGGGGCGCATGCGGAAGGCAACTAGTCGATGTGTCCCTCCCTCATCGCGGTTTCTTTCTCTCTCTTTCTCATCCCCCCCCCCGACTCTCTCTCTGAAAATCAATGGAAAAAAAATATCCTTGAGTGAAGATTAACAAAAACAAAACAAAAGAATGGTGGAGCCGGAATTCACTGTTCTGCAACCTCTGATGACACAACAGCGCGAAGCTGTAACGACGCCGGTCAGGACCCCAAGGGAGGAGCCTCCCCAAGGTCACCCCTCCCATCAGCCCAGAGGGACAGGGACGCGTCAGGTCACGTGTTGAGTCCACGGGACGCCCCGCCACAGAGGGCCTGGCTCCCCCCCAAAGGGCAGGAAGAGGCCCAGCAGGGCGAGCCACTGACGGGACCCAGCTGCCTGTCCCACGGGCGGGGGCTGTTGACACGGAACGTGGACACGGTCGGGGGAATCTGAGCGGACGTTGGATACCTGATGATATTAAAGAAAAACCTGGTGTGTTTTTCGTGGTGATGTTAGATGGGTGACTTTCATTTTTAAAACACAATGAGCTGCCTACTACAATATTTACAGATGAAAGGACNTTGTTTTTTTCGTGGTGATGTTAGATGGGTGACTTTCATTTTTAAAACACAATGAGCTGCCTACTACAATATTTACAGATGAAAGGACAGGGCGCCGGCAGGGGTTCCTGGGGGAGGGGCCGTGGCGGGCGCAGGGGACAGAGCCACGCGAGCTCCCTCCCGCAGAAGCTGGGGGTGGGCGCGGGAGGAGGCGGACACTACTCGCTGTGTCTCTCTCTGAAACCTCCCATCATTAAGAAAGAAGGCGCGGCCCTGCCGACGTGGCTCAGCGGGCGAGGGCACCGTCCTGCGCACTGGAAGGTTTCAGGTTTGATTCACGGTCGGGGCACGTACCTAGGCTGCTGGTTCGGTCCCGGCTGGGGCCCATGCGGAGGCAATCGATCGATGTTTCTCTCTCTCCCCCTTCCCCTCTCACTGAAATCAACAAAAAAAGTCCTTGGCAAGGATTTAAAAAAATGAATGCCTGTCAGTGCCCCCCCAGGCTGTCCAAGCCGAACTCTCCACTCTTACGACAGGAACTCCCCCGGGGGTGCAAAGACACGCTCCTCTGACCAAACGCTGAGGACAGACCATGGGAACAGTACAGGGACGCCAGCGATGCTGCTCCACGGCCAGGAGCCTCTTCCCTTTTCAGCACGGATCCAGTCCCCCGTGGGTGTCCCTATGGGTCCCAGCTCTCCTGCTCACTTGATGGACACTCGCTCCCCACCACCCCTGCTTGGTGCCCCCTCTCTGAGAGGCCTCCTGCCCCTCCCTCCCCGGGGGGCTCCTTGTTAGCGGCTCTCACAGACCCTGGCCCTTTCATTGGCAGCACTTGGCCCTGCCGGCTCAGGGAGACTCGTGACACGGCCAATACGCGGCCATCCGACCCACAAAAGCCAAGTTCATGAGGCTCCGTCTGCTGATGTGGTGGCACCGTGCCACGCTCAGCGCAGAATCTGCCCAGCTCTGTGCTCAGACACCCAGAACAGCCTCACACTCGGCCCCGCCGGCACAGGAATCTCCCTGCAGGCCCAGCACAAGCCAAGGGCACAGGCACTGGTCAAAGGACCTCAGCAGGCGGGCCCATCACCATCTGCGACAGGCAGGCTCGGCGGGGCTCAGTCCCCCACCAGCTCGGCAACAGCCTCGGGTGTGTGGGGAGACCAAGGCGGCGTGGGAGACACATGCACGCCTGCACACACGTGGAGGTCACTGCACACACGTGGAGGTCACTGCACACACGTGGAGGTCACTGCACACACGTGGAGGTCACTGCACACACGTGGAGGTCACTGCACACACGTGGAGGTCACTGCACACACGTGGAGGTCACTGCACACACGTGGAGGTCACTGCACACACGTGGAGGTCACTGCACACACGTGGAGGTCACTGCACACACGTGGAGGTCACTGCACACACGTGGAGGTAACTGCACACACGTGGAGGTAACTGCACACACGTGGAGGTCACTGCACACACGTGGAGGTCACTGCACACACGTGGAGGTCACTGCACACACGTGGAGGTCACTGCACACACGTGGAGGTCACTGCACACACGTGGAGGTCACTGCACACACGTGGAGGTCACTGCACACACGTGGAGGTCACTGCACACACGTGGAGGTCACTGCACACACGTGGAGGTCACTGCACACACGTGGAGGTCACTGCACACACGTGGAGGTCACTGCACACACGTGGAGGTCACTGCACACACGTGGAGGTCACTGCACACACGTGGAGGTCACTGCACACACGTGGAGGTCACTGCACACACGTGGAGGTCACTGCACACACGTGGAGGTCACTGCACACACGTGGAGGTCACTGCACACACGTGGAGGTCACTGCACACACGTGGAGGTCACTGCACACACGTGGAGGTCACTGCACACACGTGGAGGTCACTGCACACACGTGGAGGTCACTGCACACACGTGGAGGTCACTGCACACACGTGGAGGTCACTGCACACACGTGGAGGTCACTGCACACACGTGGAGGTCACTGCACACACGTGGAGGTCACTGCACACACGTGGAGGTCACTGCACACACGTGGAGGTCACTGCACACACGTGGAGGTCACTGCACACACGTGGAGGTCACTGCACACACGTGGAGGTCACTGCACACACGTGGAGGTCACTGCACACACGTGGAAGTAACTGCACACACGTGGAGGTAACTGCACACACGTGGAGGTAACTGCACACACATGGAAGTAACTGCACACACGTGGAGGCAACTGCACACACGTGGAGGTCACTGCACACACGTGGAGGTCACTGCACACACGTGGAGGTCACTGCACACACGTGGAGGTCACTGCACACACGTGGAGGTCACTGCACACACGTGGAGGTCACTGCACACACGTGCCTGCTGAGGGGAGTACTGACCAGGAAAAGGGGTTCTAAGGGAAGATGGGCTGTGGCACCTGGGCAGCAGGACAAGCTGCAGAAAAGCAGTGACAGCCACGTCCCTCACACCCTGGGGGCAGAAGGCAGGGCACCCCGAGGGTTCTCGCCATCACCTGCAGGCCAGGGGCCTCGTGGGGCCGCAGAGTTGGGTGCCCATGGCTGTCACTCAGACAACACTCAGTACACAGCCAACCGGGGGCACACAGGATGGAAGGAGGGGGACAACTCCGGTGCGGACAGAGAGGGTGGGTACCCGGGGGCAGGCAAGGGCACCAGGCCGCTTGGCCCAGGCATCGGAGGGAGACCCCAGCTGGGCATGACACCTAAAGGGAGGCGGCTGCCTGTGGCCCCTCCTCCTGGCCGGGGCAGTTAGTTCTCTGTGAGGCTCAGAGGTGACCGGCTCGGGGCGGCAGGGGCAGAGCTGCTTCCTTCTCCTGCGTCCCCCCAGCAGTGTCGCTCACACCCTGGTGTCAGCGGTGACAATGCTCGGTCACCCAGCGGGGCCACGGGCGTGGGCCTCGGGGCGAGCCGCCTAGCTTAGGACGGGACCTAAGGTCACTTTATTTACTTAGCCCTCCATGCCTCGGTGTCATTCCCAACCATCTTCACCAGTATCACCACCTGGAGCCCGGCAGCAGGGGCGGGTTAAGCAGCACAAACAGCCCAGCCCAGATGCCAGCACACGGCCAACACGCGACAACGCAGGCCCCCCCC